TAAAGAAGGGAAAAAAAAAAAAAAAGTTAACAGACTACAGCAGGCAGACTGCTTTAACAGATTGTAAGAACAAAATGGCCATCTACTTTGTATTTAGGAAGCTTCACATCTTTGTTTGGCACAAAAGGATAGTCTGATCTCATCCATACCAGGCTGTGACTGACAAGTACTCAGTGTGTGTTTACTATTAAATACCCTGTCTGAGCAACTGATGCGTACACAATTGCTCAGGCCCTAAGAATGAGAAGAATGAGCAATCAAAGCAGACTAAGTCAGACATATATTAGAAGGCTATATTAGAAGATAGCAAGACCAGCAGCCACAAGGTTAAAAGCTATTCCCGCCATTAAGGACTGCAGACTTGGCAAGGTGTACCACTAAGATGTCTTCAGGGGGTATCAGACAAGTCATTATCTTTTTGGTGGTTTTGGAAATGAAGAATGGAAAAAAACCCCAGCAGTAATCATTGCGAGAACTGTTGCAATGGCCAGTGTGTTTTAGAATTGCTAAGTACCAATATTTAATAAACCAACAGCCCACAAACACAAAAACTTCAAAATGAAAATATATACAAGTCATGTGTTTTAAGTCTTCTGCACATCCACAGTAAGGAGGAGATACAGTTAGTACCAAGTATCTCTCATATTTAGATGCGTGAGTGAGCAGCATTCTGACAGCAAAGGAAAAAAAAAAGATTTCATTAAAGCATAGTTTTGCCAATTATTATGTGGAACAGTAAACTGTAACCACTCCCTAGTCTGTGTGTGACTCTTCAAGACAATACACATACATTCCCTACTAGCTCCATTTTCTAGTTCTTTAAAGCTTTAGCCAAACTATTTTTAATAGGGTTGATTAACCCCAAGTTACAAACTCTCAAACTGAACCAAGTGTCAGTTTGCTGGGAACAAACATAAATGTCAGAACAAATCCCTCCATAGGAGGAAGTCAGAGAGCACTGTGACATACCTACAAAAGAGGATTTTGCTGCTCTGAAAAAAAGAGGAGAGGGTCAGCCAGAAGAGGACTGTGTGACAGCTAGAACAATTGCTGTCCCCTTCCAATCACCAATCAAGACAACAGGGATTCCTGCTCTCCATAGGAGGAAGTCAGAGAGCACTGTGACATACCTACAAAAGAGGATTTTGCTGCTCTGAAAAAAAGAGGAGAGGGTCAGCCAGAAGAGGACTGTGTGACAGCTAGAACAATTGCTGTCCGCTTCCAATCAACAATCAAGACAACAGGGATTCCTGATGACTACCTAAATACTAGAATGGGGCTTTCTGGACTTGTCTGTGGACAGTTTAGCATATCCATGGCTCTCCTACACATCAGGAAGTCACCACACCACAACTAACACACTACATGGCTAACAGATAACATCAGGTCTCAGCAGCTACTTAAGAATATAACCACTTTTGTGGTTAAGAATATTTTCATCTTCTCATGAGGTTAAAAGAAGAAGTAGGATATTCTTTCCCAACTCACAACGCAAAAGTCAAAGAAACAAGGTCAATGGAACAAGTACGTCTGGAAAGAGACCAGGAAGGAAAACGGAGCATCAAATTAAGGAAGGCAACATAACGGGTACGGAGAAAAGAGGACAAGGAAGACATACTCAAAACCATGTAAATGAAGGCCTCTTGCAATCATACTAAACCTATTTACGTGCTACTCCTCAACTTCCCTTTCAACATGAATATTCACTGTCAAGCAAAGTCAAACTGTCTGAATTCCCTTCTGGATGCACTGTACACTACCATCCCCTTGGGGAACTGCACCCTGGCAAATTGGTGAAGCCCCATAACTAGGGAATGGGGACACAAGAAGGTAGAGGAGTTTATATTATAAAGAGTATTAGGTATACTCTTTTAGTAAAAAGAATTAACACACAAATATGAGTTATCAGCAACAACCAGAAAGCCAAGCTGCACAATACACCGCCCTTTATTGCCTCCTGCAATAAATCTGCTGATGGGAATAGCCATTCTCTTAATTCCCTGTACTGTCAGTTAGGCCCATAGAGGACCCAACCCTCAAAACACCAACAAAACCCTCAGCAGTTCATTCCGTGGAATAACAACTAACCTAACAAGGATTCGGTCATTAGAAATTGAGGTGCTCAGCTCCAGCTGTTGTTCTTTTAGTAGAGTAAGAAGAATTTCATTGCTGACAGGTTTTAAGTTGTTTAAAATAAAAATTATTTGGTTTGTGTTTTTACGTAACAAAGGTGGAAATAGCAGTTACATTGGACATACTGGAAGTCTGCATACTCAGCTTCCCTCTAATACTGAGGGCCATTCATGGGAAGCCCATATTAACAGACTGCACCAGCAGCAATTTTTTCCCCTACAGCCTTGTTTTCATAAACTAATGTTCTCCTTTGCCAATCCAGGACAATGATGCTCTATTTAGTAAGTTTTAATTACATGAAAAGGCGCAGGGAGTTTGGTAGAAAGGCAGAAGGACTATTAGAACCTTATCTAGGTGACGAGATCACAGCAAGAAGCTGTATTTGACCATACAAAAAGGCTTCCTGACAACAAATTTAGTTTTCAGGTGAAGCCACACTAGACCATTTAAGGGGCATGTTTGTCCTGCTACGTGCTTTGCACCCATTCAGACATATGTTGGACTGCTTTGTGAGCAGATTCATTTCATTAGCCTGGCAAAAAGTCACACTCAGCAAATCAACTCAAAAGACCCAGTGAGCACTAGGGCCAGCAAGGGCACAGAACTATGCAGTTAAGGAGTGTGAGGAAGACTCAGCTGCTCACATGTTATTCAGTATTTATTTTGGGGAATATTGTTCACTTTCCACAGTGGAAAAATGACCCTCCCGTTTCATGAAGAAATGGTACAACGTTTAAGAAAAAGACTGGCAGTCACACAGGACCTTATTCTTTCTTAACTGAAGGACAGACATCTAAGATGATACTTGATGCCTAAGAACTTTGCCTCTTTGGTTGCCAAGGTCTCAACTTCAGAGACTAATCTATGCGGTAACATGGTCATTTTATTTTTTCATCTACTGATGCCCTACGCTCGCTACAGCTTCCCACTTCACGCTCCTAAACGTTCTTCCAGCCCCTTGAGCTCTGCTACAAGATAAAGAGGAAAAGAGTTAGCCACCAGGTTTTACAGGTTAATTTGCAACAATTTAATAGCAACGCTCACCGTTTATGGGGGACAAGCTCTACCAGCCTGCACTTCTTGACTCGCTCTCCAGCTACCGGAAACATGCACTCCTGTCCGGAGCCGTTCAGCGCAACTGGCAGAGACAAGCCGCGCTGCTCAGTCGCCCGGCGCCGCTTTCGTGGGCGCTCCTGCGAGCCCTGCGCCCCTCCGAGGCGTCAGACACCACAACCGCTGCCGTACGACCATCGCCCCCCGGCTAAAACCCCAGCTCCTACCAACCCGCGCTTTTTAAGGGGAAGGGAAAAAAAACAAGACAAGAGCGCAGCGCTGCAGCACGCCAGCTCCCGACCCCCGCGCGCGGAA